TGAAACAGATCAGCAGCAACATGAAACAGATCAGCAGCAACATGAAACAGATCAGCAGCAACATTGAAACAGATCAGCAGCAATATTGAAACAGATCAGCAGCAGCAACATGAAACAGATCAGCAGCAATATGAAACAGATCAGCAGCAACATTGAAACAGATCAGCAGCAGCATGAAACAGATCAGCAGCAACATTGAAACAGATCAGCAGCAACATTGAAACAGATCAGCAGTAACATGAAACAGATCAGCAGCAACATGATGTGATTTTTTTCACAGTGACTATTCTGGTTAGATATTCATGAGTCTAACAGCCTCAGGGTAGACGCTGTTCCTCAGCCTAGTGGTTCTACACTTAATGCTCCTCAACCTCCTTCCTGAGGGGAGCGGGGCAAAAAGTGTGTGTCCTGGGTGAGTGTGGTCCTTCATGATGCAGGTGGCCCTCTTCATGCATCTGGAGGTGTAGATGTCTGTGATGGTGGAGAGGCTGACTCCAACAGACTTTGTATTTGTAGACAACAGTATTTTGCAACTGTTTAAAAATGTGAGTGTTAACAGCTTACCTAAATACTGAAATATTACCTATTACTGGTAATTTACAAGCATGCTGTTATTGTAAATTGTTACCAATATATCATATTAAATGGTATTTTAATTGCAGTTTAAAACTATTGAAAGTAGTTTGAATTCAGGTCTAATTTTCAATATATAGTTCATTTATATTTTGATGCATGGAGAATCCTACGTTTAATTGCACATAATGTTTACTTTTTGTTGTACTTTCAGTCTATTTATATATGTAGAAGGCATAGAAACACTTATGTACATTTGCAAGTTATAATGCAGTTTGAAATTATTGAGCAGCAAATATTATTTATATTATTAACTAAAAAAACACAGAAATTGACGCTTATTTTAGCATCTAATTGTCTGTTGTTTTCATTCCTCTCTGTAAATCTACTTCAGACAGATTTGTCTATGTAACGTTGTACTTACCATGTTCTCCAAACATTGCTCTTCTAGCTCTATGACGGGCCTAATGAGCAAGCTCCTCTTATTGGGAAATTCTGTGGAAATTCGCCTCCACCAGCCAACAACACCATGAGCTCCGCCCTTACTATGGTTTTCAGAACAGACTCCTCCTTGTCCCTGCCTGGGTTTCAGATGATGTGGTACCAAAATGGTAAGATAACGCTTTTAAACAACTTACTTTTTATGTATATGAATATTTCAGTTCAGTGTGCTGATATGACTTCTAATGTGACTTGGAGCTATATAAATGAACTGAATTGAACTGAAATATGAATTAGTCAAGTGAAATTAAAATATGTGTGGTTGCAAACAATTCCACTGTCTATTGCTCAAAGTACAAACAATCATTCTACATTTTGCTGTGGAGATTTGGAGCTACTTCAGGGTAAGCTTTGTCCATTTTACTATATTTCTGATCAAAATCAATTAAAGCAGCCCAAAAAACATCAATTAAAAACTGGAGAATGTGCTTCTAACTAGCCTTGAAATTAAATAAAATTCTAATTGATTTTAATGATACTATATCATTTATCGTGATAATGTTTTGAAACTACGTATTGGATGTTTGATCCTGGTGTTTAGAGGACAGCCAGATATTTCAGTGTAGAGCCAGATGTTCTACAGGAAAGGCAGATATTCTAGTACAGACCTCCAGTTTGTACTTGGCACAGATGTTCCTGTAAACTGTTCAGCCACTTGGTTATGGTGTCCCATGTATGCTTTGCCTGCCTGCATCTTATATCGTGACATTTTGTGTTGGAGTCTCTGGAGCATCTTAGCACAGCCTGCATCTTGAGTCGTGTCTGCTATGGTAGACACCTGCCTTTATTTCTCTTGCACTGTACTTTACAAGTATTTTATTTGTAAGCTGAGGGTGTCAAAACCACATATGGTGGGTTTTAGACTGGATTAGGATTTGGTGTAGGGATGCACGATATTGGATTTTTGGCCAATATCCGATATGACGATATGTTATACCGATACATATATTTTAATATAATTTCCTTTGTCGGAACATAGTCCTCTTATTTAGGCTTATTTGCTACAAAAACTGTGTAACAGCTGTAAGAGCTGGTGGTATATTTACTAACAGCCATATGATATGCATAGCACTTTAACTTATATTAAATGAAAATTGTTAAATGTTATTTATTAGCATTAGTCACCTGCGATGCTGTTTCACTTGTGGAGGCTTGTTCCAGGTTCCTATAGCTGCAGTGTGGGATCCTCTGCACTCCTGTGCATGAAGGACAGACTTTTTAAGTTAAAAGTTTTTGTCTATCCATTGTGCCGTAAGACTAATCATGCTAACGGGGCTAACACTTGATGTCCAAACGTCTGTGGTAAAACTCACCCAAGTGCTATCGGCTATTAGCTTCTCAATGACGTCATAAATGACTGCTTGTAACTCGGTTAAGGCTACGTCAGAAAAAAACATCTCTGACTGGGGACCATGTAGCGAAGCTCAACGTAGTCCAGAAATCTTCGGAATCCAACATCCTCAATGAAAAAAAACTTTCACACCGCCGACATTTTGAACTTTCCTCTCCACCGTGATCATATCGGGTAGGCATTCATGACGTCATCATGTTGTGCTGTTGCTGCAGGCATCCATGTCACTGGGTTGTCATACAAAAACAGAGTCTTGATGATCTAAAAAAGTGAAATCTGGTCCTCTGGACAGTCAGAGTCTTGATGAGTTATTTTGATGGAATAGCCGATGTCCGATATTTAACTTTAACGCTAATATCGACCGATACCAATACAATGCCAATAACATCGTGCATCCCTAATTTGGTGTGTTTGTAGCTGAGAGTCATCCCTAGCACATTATCAGTGTTACATATTCTAAGATATTTGATTAAAACTTTGATATCAACCTTCAGAGTATTACTGTCTTGTCTAGTTACAGTATACCTCTTTAACTGCCTGGATTTTAATGAAGATCTGAAAATAATCAGTGGATGTGCATTTACATTTGATAAATTTTCAAGTTAATTTGATTCAAAATGGCTGCCACAGCTAATTGACCAAAGGAGGAAAAAAACTGTATAGCAGTAAATGTTGTAGATATTGGGTTAAAAATAGATGTTTATTTAGCTAAGAGTCTTCCTCAACTTCATACTTTGAATGCTAATAGATTCTATCCATATCATATACTTTTGTATAGCAAAAATCTAAAGTTCTTGATAAGAAAAAAAACTGTATATTTATTATTGTTCAGTTATACAATCATTTAGCCTAAGTTGGAAACATGATCAGATATGCAAATGTTTGTTTTATGGAGCTTATTGTACATGGCCTGACCTCTTCTTCCTTCTGTCTGTTAGCATTAGAACAACTGTAGAGCAGAGAGAGAGTTGTTCCATTCAGAAGTTATTTAGGTCAGTGAGTGTTTTCTGTAGAAACCGCACTTGACCTAAACTCATTTTTATAAAAGAACTGAACACCTACAGATAAAACAAATGGTAACACAAGACTCTGATTTCTCAGCATTACGTCATGTTGCTGTCTGCGGTGATCTCGTGCTGTTTTGTTCTGGTTCTTAATGATGTAATTCTTTTAAATTTTATATAATTTTATTTGTATTTTATATTGGCAACAGTGTTTGAGTTGAATGTTGCTTTTATAAAGGTCAAGTTTTTTGTTTTTTTTTCAATTTGGATTTAGATTAAAAAAAAAAAAAATCAGATTCTGTTTTTTAGGGTGACCTGTTCAGGAACTGCACAGAAAAACAACTAACTCTGTTCAACAGTGTGCATCATCCCTGTTAAATGAACTACTAAACCAAACTAAAATGAATAAACTTTGTTCTCTGAAAGGAAAGTTCATATAATTTCCTAAACAATAGAGTTGGGTGTAAATAACACTTTTTCATTTCTGATATGTAAATGTACCACTTTGCTTGGATGATAAATACCAGCTGTGTCACGGTTTGTTAAATTAAATGGTATGTGATCCTGCAGGTTGTGGTGGGGAACTTTCTGGCCCCAGAGGCTCCATCAGCAGCCCAGGATATCCAGTCAAGTATCCTGAAAACACAGAGTGTATCTGGTATATCACCTCAACAGCTGGCAGCAGTATTACCCTCACCATCCATGAATTTGATGTAGAATATCATCAAGACTGCAACTATGATGTGCTGGAAGTAAGTTATGGGTTTAACTCTCTACATGGTTGAAAACAGCTCGTTTATTTTGGTGTACACAGCTTAGTCACATACAAAATGTTCCAGTAACGAACAGTCCCACTGCAGTGTTGTTGCATCGTAGGTGGTGTGACCCAACTTGTTCCCTTTGCATTTCAGTGCTAAGCAATGTAACATTGACGAAGTCCAGATTGACTTGGCCTGTGGTTTGGTCAGTTTCTGACCAGAGCCCAGAGCTTGAGAATGGCTGGTATACATCATAACACTTCTGTTATCTAAGTCCACGGTGTACCGCTGTGCTGGCGTGCATCACTGTGCTTCACTACCACACAAAGCACTACCACAACAAAAACATGTATATTTTTTTGCATTTCAAGTCAGAAACATTAATCCAAACCGTCACTGCCGTTATTCTTCTTCTTTCAGCTGTTCCCTCTTCTGGGGTTGCCAGAGCAAGTCATCCTCCTCCACCTCACTCTGTCCTCTGCATCCTCTGACCTCACTCCAACTACCTCCATGTCCTCTCTAACTACATCCATATATCTCCTCTTTATCTTTTTCCTAGCAGCTGCATTTCTAACATCCTTCTACCAGTATATCCACTGTCCCTCCTCTGGGCATGTCCAAACCATCTCAGTCTGGCCTCCCTAACTTTATCTCCCAGTTGTTCAACCAGTGCTGTACCTCTGATGATCTCATTCCTAATCGTATCCATCCTTGTCACTGCTAAAGAGAACCTCAACATCTTCCTTTCCACCACTCCAAGTTCATTCTTCTGTCTTTTTGTCAATGCCACTGTCTCCAGACCATACAACATAACTGGTCTCATCACAGTCCTGGAAACTTTTCCTTTGACCTTTGCTGACACCTTCTTTTCACAAATCACTCCTGAAACTTTTCTCCAGCCACTCCATCCTGCCTGGACTCTCATCTTCTCCTTTTTACCACACTCTCCATTCCCCATTTTCCTGGACAGTGGACCCCAAGTCCTTGAAGTCCTGCACCTTTGTGACCTCTGCTCCTTGTAGCCTCACTGTTCCACTGGCCTCCCTCTCATTCGCACACATGTACTGTGTCTTACTACGACTGACTTTTATTCCTCTTCTTTCCTGTGCATACCTCCACCTCACTGCCATTCTAAATTTACAAAAAAAGTTAATCTCTGTTTTTTATCATACACCAGAGCCATAGTTTTGTTAGCTATATCATTTTAAAGTTTCATCTAATTTTTAATAAAAACAAACAAATAGATGTCTAAACTGACAGAGCATGAAGAAGTTCAATAGGTAATGCATTTGATCTAAATAACATTATCAACTTTTCTGTGCATTGCTCAAAAAACGTGTTGCTTTAGTAAACGAGTAGTTTTTTTTGGTGTGTGTTTTTATTTTATGTAAGTTGACTTTAGATCTTTAATGTTGTTGTAGGTATATGGAGGCCCAGACCTGTCAGCCCCTAAACTGGCTCAGCTGTGCAGCACCACAACAAACCCAATGCAAGTTTCCAGCACCGGCAACCTACTTACCCTGCGTTTCAAGTCTGATGCCTTCGTCAGTGGTCGAGGTTTCAATGCAAGCTGGCAAGAAGTCCAGGGAGGTGAGTAAGCATCTTCCATGACATAATTTTGGAGGCAAATAACTCAAATGTACTGACACAATTAACTGTCATAAGGGTAAAAGTAAAAAAAAAAAAAATTATCTCAAAATTAAGTTATGCTTTTACTGACTGTGGAAGGAATTCATGGAGCAATGTAACTGATATGGAGAGCAGTATTAGAGCCAGATGTTTTTAGGACTTGAGAATCAGAAAACCTTTTCAACCTTAAGAGCTAATTCATTTTTGTAGTTGGACACATTCATTTAAGAGAGATAAATAACATGAATTGTAAGATTTTAAGAAATATTCAGACAGGAATCAACATTATCAAACGAGTGATAGTGTGTGAATCACTATAAGTTCCACAAAAGAAAAAAGTAAATGGCTAAATGTTGCACCCTGCTGCTATCATCAACATTCGGTAGCTTCAAGTCTGAAGGAAAGAAAGAATCCTCTTACTTTATCTATTCATTTTGTGAGTGAAAACTTAAGAAAACAAAATCATTGGCCAATATGTGCTCAGGTTGTTTAATAATGTCTCTAGCTTTCCAGATTATCACTTTCTGGAAATACCTCTTAAAGAGTGCAAGTCTTCCTGCTGGCTTCCAATAGTCAGAGCCAACCATATCAATGCCATGATTGATTTTTTTGGTTGACAGACATTTAAGCCAAACACACTAACAAGAACATTAACAAACTCTTAATGAAATATTGATAATAAAAAAAAGACCCTGTATATTCTTGCAGACACTAAAGTTACTGAACTTCCCTAAGAGGGTGACTCGTTAGTTACCCTGCCTATCAACACTGTGTGTTCTCCTCAAAATTAGATAGATGGACAGACAGATGGATGGATACTTGTTTACTTACTTGTTTACGTTACTTTATTAATCGGGGGGGGGGGGGGGGGGGTTCAAAGTTAACAAGTGTTCCCAAAACCCCAATCTCTGTACTGTGTACCTCTTCACCATGGAGTCTGCTAGCTTTATGTTCAACACAACACTTTCTAAAATCAATAACCAGGTCTTTGTTTTTTGGTTTGAATAATATGAAGGATGTTGATGTCACACCAGCCAACAAATGCATGCAAGGCACCACCTTGACCTGACTGGTCACCCTGACTGGTCACCCTGAAAAAGAGACAGCAGTGTAATTTCATCTGCATTGGTGTTATCGTACCTTTTGGTCAGCATTGTTGCTGTTTTGAACTACATTGTAAATTAAGCTGTATTGGAATGGTATCTGAAATCTTTAAACCAGAGGGTAATTTCTCAATGAAAACATGTGAATCAGAATAAGCTTTATTATCATTGCACGGAGATACAACGAGAACATGCATGTACAGTCGTCCGGAAGATGGACGGAGTGCACGTAGCTGCTGCTGTAAGCAATCTTGGGAGTCAGATTCAGATAAGATTTGATTGTTGATTTTCTTCAGGCAGACAGATTACTTTTTTCTTCAGCCTCGAGTCCATCTGGACATTTTGGTTCCAAAAAGGCCTAATTGTGGGATTCTATTCCACGGATCCATGCTGAGTCTCCATCAAGGTCGAACCCACCACGCTGACAAGTCCCAGAAGCCTCAGGTGGCCTGCAATTCTCAGAAATCGCCTCCACCTTGCGGTTTAGCTCGTAAACCAGTTGATTTAGAGTTCCTACAGCACGGACCAGACCTTCACACTGACTCGGAAGCTTTGCCATGGCTGAAACTGCTGCCGAAGTCTTCTTCAAAAGTTGATAAAACAGAGCCCTGCCGATGCCAAAAATCAGAGTCCCTGCTATCATAAATCCAAATATGTAAATGTCTTCAACATCCTCCTGAGACAGGACTGAGAGGCACATCAGCTCATGACGTATCCCCCAGCGTGTGTCTCAGCTGGACACGCAGGCTCTCCAGGACCTTGTCGTTTTGTTGAAAAAATCTTATCAGTTGAACGCCCAGGATACCAGATCCATAATCTTCTTAATTTACATTCGGGAGATGTGAACCAGGCACTTCAGACGCACAGAGAATAGAGCAGGAAGAAGGAAAAATGGGGGAGGAAAGACAGAAGCAGCCACCTCGATCAGAGCCAGGGAGAAACAAAAATGTTTGTATCTACAAAACAAAATGTTCATGTATTTTAGGATGTTCAAGATGTTTATACAGTTTGTTTAAGAATAAAAATTGTTGCATCATTTACTCTTTTCTAATTTGATAAGCAAACTCCAGTGGGTTTAGAAGGATTGTTTTTGTATCTGTACATAGTGACCAAAGCTGCAAAAGTACAACTTGGCCACAGTACAAACTGTCATACAACCCTAAAACCTCCAAAGCACGATATTTTATTTTTAAAAGTACGTTACTGCTGAGTTTGACAGTGTTTTGTTTGGTATTATGAAATGTATAAGGGTAGACCTAAATGACTATAAATCTGTTCTGAAGGTTAAAATGCACACCTTTTGATAAGCAACATTAATGTTATATATGTTTTCTCCTGCAGGCTGTGGAGGTCCAGTGACTGCACCGTCAGGGGAAATTCATTCTCCTTTGTACCCAAACAGCTATCCGAACAACGTGGACTGTTCCTGGGTGATCAGTGTGGATGCCGGTCATCGTGTCTCCTTGAACTTCACTGATCTGGACATTGAGTACCATAGCAACTGCCTCTGGGATTATGTAGCTGTGAGAAAATAACTTAATCTGCTTTTGAGAATGTACATTTTATTACTTTGAAATGGTAATTTCTGTTAGAGATATGAAATCATCAGGGAAATGGAAACTTTTTAGAACTTTCAATGCTAACACATTTTATTTTATGCACATATTCTGTAGATTTATTAATCTACACACAGTTCTTCAAACCGAAGAAATGAACTATTGAAATTTGACATTTTTTGCACTTCTTGTGATATATCTACATCAGACTGAATTCAGTTTGAGCCCACCTTAAGGCAGCTTTAGGGCATTATTAGGAGAGCAGACTGTCTGTAAAAAGCCATATAATTAGTTTTTAATGTCAGGAAGAAACCAAGCCATGAGGTTCAACCATCTTCAAGACAGGATTGTCTCAATGCAATGATTTAAGGATACAGCAAAGTTTCCACAGCATTTGAAGTTCACTAAAATGTAATACATATTTTATTTAGAAACTGTAATAACTTTAAAGAGTTCTTACTGAATATCTGTCTACTCAGTCACAGTGTAGAACTCATAACAATCAGACGTATGGTAGAATTTCACTGGGCTGTGTTGGAGTTCAGTTACGGACTCAAAACTACAAAAATTGAGACAATACACACATTTTTTGTTGCAGATTCACTGAATTTGCTTTGATACAAAGCAATCAGCAATTTTGTGGTTGTAATTTGAGAGACCAATTTAAAAAAAAAAAAATCACAGCAATATTTTGTCAGCACGGGGCTTTTTTTGTCCAGCCAAATGCCACTCATTGGATATTTTATCTTTATGGACCATTCTCTTTAAACCCTATAGATAGTCGTGCGTAAAGATCCTAAAAGATCTGCAGTTTCTGAATTATTCAGACCAGTCTGTTATGCACCAACAACCATGCCACATTCAAAGTCACTTTTAATGTCTGGTTTGAACTTCAGGTAGTCGTTATCCCCATGCCAATCTGCCTTAAGGCATTGAGCTGCTACCATTAGATTTAGCTGTTTAGCTATTTTTGTTAACAAGCAAATGAACACGTGTACCCAATACAGTGGCTGGTGAATGTATATACAGTATACTGGGGTGTGGGAATTTTATTAACAATATTAAGAATGCAACAGACTGAATGTGAAACAAAGCAGTAAAAAATGAGTGTGATTATTATTCTCATACTAACATCATCATCATTACCAGACAAAATGTTAAAATATTTCACTGTGTATGTATATTTGTAGGTCCATGATGGAACAAGTATAACTTCTCCACTGCTTGCCCAAATTTGTGGCACCAGCGCTCCTCTCACCATATCCTCCACCACAAACACCATATATGTTCGCTTTAGGTCTGACTTCAGTAACAACCACCGTGGCTTCAGTGCTAGATTTTCTGAGGGTGAGTTTCTTTAATCTTTCTGGTTTAGTCAACATTTATCCACTGGATTGTTAGATCAGTCGGTACAATATTACTTTGTCTCATTGCAGTTGTACATTTGGTGGAGATGTGTTGCAGTAAACCTCAGTTTCAGAAAAGAACAACATAAAGACGAGGGAAACATACAGATATTCAACTTTTAGAGAAGGTTTATGGACTGTACTTATATAGCACTTTTCTATCTTATCGAGATACTCAAAGCTCTTTACAACACTGTGCCCTCATTTAACCATTCATACAGCACTCTACTAGGTCTGTACAAAAACTGATCTGTGCTTTAGGTCACATTCATACACCAATGGGACACACATTGAAGGCAATGAGGGGTTCAGTGTCTTGCCCAGGGACACTTTGGCATGCAACTGATGGTGGAATTGAACCCCCAACTCTTGCATTGGAGGATGACTGTTCTAACCACTCAGCCATAGCTGCCCCGCCCATTTAGGAGTAAGGCTACCATTTGTAATGCCACACAAAATAATTGAGGGATGATAACTTGATCAGTTACAGTGAAGAACTCATACACAGCACAATAGCTTAGTGGTTGGCACCGTTACCTCACAGCAAGAAGGTCCTGCATTAAATCCCTGGTTTGGACATGTGGTCTTTCTGTGTGAAGTATACATGTACTCCTTGTGTTTGCATGGTTTTTCTCTGGGTTCTCCAGTTTCCTCCCACAGTGGCATGTTAGCGTGCCTTCAGGCCCAGCCAGGCCTTCTTGCAAGAGAGATCTGTGATAGTAAGATTCACTTGGTTAAATAAAGGTTAATAAAAGTAATTTTGAAAAACCAACATTAATAGAAAGGATGTTTTTTGGTAAACTTGCACATTGCACTAAGTATTGTATAGTGGTGAACCAACTGTGTCAATCAGACTTTTGAAAATTTTTGACATACACAGATAGGAAAATGCTGGTCCCAAAAGATTCTGCTGAATATCACGATGGTTACTGTAATTCTCAACTAGTTTTGTTTTGCAAACCTTTTGTTTTAATCAAGACACCTTCTGCCCCCTTGTGTGCATGTGCTGTGCATGTTGTGAAGACATCACCTGAACATATTTAGTGTATTTTTGTTTTTGACAGCCTGTGGCACAACTATTACAACAGACGATATTGGTGGAGCCATTGCATCGCCACGGTACCCAGCATCATATCCACCAAATCAGAACTGCAGTTGGATCATCAAAGCACAGGAACCATGTAAGCTTCCATTGTTAAGACTTACAGTTTTGTACATATGGTTCTTATACACTGATTGTTGGGTCTAACTAACTACTGATTATGTTAACCTGGCTAGTCAACCATGTGACCCTGTCATTCACTGATTTTGAGCTGGAGATGATAAACGTCAACTGCTCACATGATGCTGTGGAGATCCTGGATGGAGACAACTACCAAGCACCTTCTATAGGTGGGTATACTCTGGATTTCTTCTCATATTTTTACATAACTACATTGTTAGATCTGTCAGAAAGTGGTTAGATGTTGATAGGACATCTGGAAATAAAAATCAAACCTTATCATAAAATAAATTATTAAACCATGGCATAGGAAACAACAAGTTCATCTTTACTTAGTTTTAAAGTTTTACATATCAATACAAAATGAAGATCTGATCTTGAACAGGTTTTTAAATCATTCCACTCTAATCTCAAGTGAAAAAGACATAAAAAAATATTCCATCACGTCAATAATATTCAACACAAATGAACCCTATAGGCAAAGTTGTGTTGTCTCCAAAAGTATAAAAGCTTCAGAAAAAAAATAAAATATTGATGACCTTTGTTATTTTAAAATTTTGGCTTTAATTTAACATATTTATTTTTCTAGGTTCATGATAATAAAAAAAAAAAATAATAAAACATATCAGTTTAACACAAATGAAAGTTTATGAGGGAGAATTACCTTTGAAGTGATATAATTGTACACATCACCCCACCTGACACTCTTTTCATCTCTGCTACAATTTTAAACCCCACTCCAATGCCACAATTATTGCTGCCCCTCCATTTGGTCTCTTAGACACATAAAACATCTACCTTCCTTCTCTGCCTCATGTTAGCTATCTCTCTACTTTTGTCATTGCCCCCACATTTAGAATTGCTACACAGTCCTTCACTTTTTACTTTTCTCTTCTCCCTTTGTCTCCTTGCACATTTCCGTCCTCCTGATTTTGACTAACAGTTGCACCCTGTTTGTCAATAGCATCATTGGTAGTCTGTTAACCCGAGCCTCAACTGATCCAGTATTAAGTCATTCAGATGAATGTGCAAAAGCGTGTCAATGCATTGCTAATGTAATATTTGTTTTGTTTTGTTTTTGTTAGGGCGCTTCTGCGGCTACGAAATACCTCATCCAGTGACATCTTTCAGCAACTCTTTGGTGGTCAACTTCATCTCTGACCACTCCGTCTCTGGAAAAGGCTTCAGAGCCACTTACTCAGCCTCCACTTCCAGTACAGTGGAAAACACTGCTCACATTTCTAAAGACATACTGAATGAATCAGTAAAAAATGAGAAATATTTGTTGCTTTGACACTGATATCATATTTTCATATTTTTGCTCAGGTTGTGGTGGAGATCTGGTGATGCAGAGTGGTGCATTTAATAGTCCTAACTTTCCTGATTCCTATCCACCAAACATGGAATGCGTGTGGACCATTAGGAGTTCACCAGGAAATCGTCTACAACTCTCCTTCATGTAAGTTTATTTAAATGGGCTGGTTTATCTTCTACTTTTAATAGGTATCTATGATCATCTCTTCACAATTTGAACACATATTTACAAGGTATTGTGTATTCACACTGCATACATTTCTATTCAGTCAGAATATTTTCTCTTTATTTTCCACTGCAGTACAGTATTACCAAAGTATGACCTTTGTATACTTCAAAATATCCTTATAAATAGTGTGCGAGGTAGTGGAGATAGAGAAATTCAGGAAGAATCTAAACCATGTGATAGGAAGTATTCCCAGGAAGGGTAGGGTGGGAATTGAATCAAATCTCTCTGGACATGTTTCTGTAGAAAACAGACGAGATGAGGAAGTGATGGGCAGACTTGGAGTCAACAAAGGAACCAGGAAATTTTGCTATGAGGATAAAAATGGCTTTAGTGGAAACCTATTTCCAAAGGGAGGAACACAGGGAAATCTAAAAGAATAAAAGTAGTAGTACACAAGTAAACTACATTATGTAAAGGTGGGGAAAACCGAGGGAGATTTGGGACTGTAAGAATGTGGCAGAAGAGTGCATAACCAGACAACATCAGATGATTATGTGTAACATGAGATGAGTGATAAGAAAGAGTTTACAGATGACTGAACCCCAATTCTAGAATTGCGCCGCTTGGGGTGGCTGCATGTTGGAGTAGCTTTGTTATATTCATTCTGAGATTTTGCTTTTGGAAACTTTTAATTCTTCTTTTTCTGGATGTAGATAATTATTTTTTGGATGATTTTTTCCTCTGGTATCGGATGCTGTGCAGCTGGAAGGATTTTTACTGAATACTTTTGGATATTTGTTATGATGCGTAACCATGACAACAAGTTTTTTTGTTTTTTGTTTTTTTTTTACAACCGGGAGCAGCTGATTAACCTTTAAAAAGTTCAAATATTACCTCAACTACAGCCACAAATCCCAAATGAGTTGAAAAGGAGGCACCGTGGATGCATCCCATCTCCCTGCCGGCTGTGCTCAAGTGCCTGATCTCTGAGATTCTGGAACTAGCAGGAAACACAGCTTGTGACAGCAGAAGGACTGGGATCGTCCCCCGGCACCTGCAGCTGGCTGTCCGCAGCGACGAGGAGCTCGGCAGACTGCTGGGAGGAGTGGCCATCGTTCAGGGAGGAGTTTTGCCCAGCATTCTGGTGATCCTGCAGCCCGGGGGAATCTAGTGGCCCGCCAAGTCTGGGTGGACAGATCGGACAGCATCTGCGGCCAGTTTCTTTGGATCCACTGTGGGACGGACCTTTACAAGAGATCCTTCTTGCCTACAGTCATCAGTATCTATAACATATCTTAATGAAATGAGGATAATGAGTTACAACAACCTTTATTTTCCCTTTGGTATAAATAAAGTATTTTTGATTTGATTTGCTTTGATACTACAGCACATCAACAGATATTAGAGAGAAAGGTAGAAAGGTACTTGGTGTGTTGTCAGGACGGAGAAAAGATGATAAGGAAACCTGGTGGTTGAATAGCAATTGCAGAAAAGTATCCATAAGAAGAGGTTAGACAAGAAGAAATGGGACAGAGAGGACTGAAGAGAGTAGACAGAAACATAATGAGATAAAACATAGGGCAAAGAGGGAGGTAGCAAAAGCAAAGCAAAAGGCATATGATGAGTTGTACAAGAAGCTGGACACAAAGGAGGGAGAGAAGAACTTGTATCAATTGACAAGGCAGAGGCTTCAGGCAGGAAAGGATGTGCAGCAGGTTAGGCCTCTTAAATATATGGAAATGTTCTAATAAGTGAGGAGAGTGTGATGGGAAGGTGGAAGGAGTACTTTGATGAGCTCACGGATAAGGAGAATGAAAGAAAAGAAGAGTAGAAGTAATAGAAATTGAACCAGGAAGAGGTAATGATTAGCAAGGATTCCAATCAAAAGACTTTGAAAAGTATGAAGCAACAGTCTGGTTTACTACCAAGAGAGAAAACAACATATGCCATCTTTGCTTTGAGGATGCTGACACAAAAGTACTGAGGGGGTCAAAAAGAACTTCATTGGGTCTTTGTGGACTTGGAAAAAGCATGTGACAGGGTTCAAGAGAGAGGCTGTGGTGTTGTATGAGGAAATCTGTAGTAACAGCTTTGCTTGGATGATGGACCGACTAACAGATGAGGTCAGGCAGGAATCCCTGTGGACTATGTTTTCAGATGACATAATGATCAGTGGTGAGAGCAGAGAACAAGTGGAAGAGAACTTAGAGAGGTGGAGGTATGCACCGGAAAGAAGAGGAATGAAAGTCAGTCATTGTAAGACCGAGTACATGTGTGTAAATGAGAGGGAGGAGGTGGAACAGTGAGACAACAAGGAGCAGAGGTCACAAAGGTGCAGGACTTCAAGTACTTGGAGTCCACTGTCCAGGAAAATGGGGAATGTAGTAAAGAGGTGAAGAAGAGAGTTCAGGCAGGATGGAGTGGATGGAGAAAAGGGTCAGGAGTGATTTGTGACAAAAGGGTGTCAGCAAAGATCAAAGTAAAAGTTTACAAGACAGTGGTGAGACCAGCTGTGTTGTTTGGTCTCGAGACAGTGACATTGACAAAAAGACAGGAGAAAGAACTGGAAATGAAATAGATGAAAAAGTAGTACTCGAAGTGTCAGAGGTGAAGTTGTTGAGGTAGTGCGTCACAAGGATGCTTTAGGTTTAGGAATGACATCATCAGAGGTACAGCACAGGTTAAACAACTGGGATATATGTATGGATGCAGTTAGAGAGGGCATGGAGGTAGTTTGAGTGAGGACACAGGATGCAGAGGACAGAGTGAGATGGCATTCTGTGGTGACCCACAAAAAGGGAACATCTGAAAGAAAAAGAAGATACTTAAATATAAATTTTATTTAAATATGTGTACTGTGTTGTTTAAAAATTAAATCAATTTGCATTGTTAAAAAGTGACCAAAAATACTATTATTTGTCAAAGGTACAAATAACCTATGACTACTTATTCTGCACGCCACTTGCATGTATCTGTTTGTGTTTCTTTGTTTTTAGTACATTTCACCTCCAGGGAGGCTCAAACTGTGAAAACGACTACCTGGAAATCAGAGAAGGAAACTCCACTGGAGCTGTGGTTGGTCGTTTTTGTGGAAACTCTCTTCCCTCCAACTATACTTCTGTGATTGGTCACATCCTGTGGGTTAAGTTTGTCTCAGATGGGTCAGTAAGTGGAGCAGGATTCAGAGCCACCTTCTCACACTGTAAGTCTTCCATGATGAAAGTCCATTTACTGGTTTAAAATGTTTATTGATGGATTTTATATATGTAATTAATTAGGTTGTTTTGTCAGCAGTCCTGTCTTCAGCAGAGTAATACTACCAGTTTAATTTAAAAGTTATTTTATTAATGTAACAAGTGTAGCTACAAGATGCAAAAATAATAAAAATGAGGATTTTAAATTAAAACATTAAGAAGCTATTAAAACCAATTGTGGCCACATAATTTTTTTATTTATTCATTCAATTAAAAGAAACAAAATAAACAAAACAAACTCATCAAAAAGAAAAAAAAACTGAATGAAAAGGGTGCAGAAAGAAGAAAAATATTCTTATAATATCTGCCCCTTATTAAAAAAATAAATAACTAGAAACAAACCACAACCTATGCTTGAACAATCTCCAAATTGAAAACAAAAACATCATGCATCCTTCACCTGATACCATACCTTCACAACTTTACCTTAATCATCTTTTTAAACATATAAACTGTTTTAGAAATGCTTTTGGTGATATCAAGGCAATTCCATAATCGTATTCCCTGAATTACAACGCAGCTCCTTCAGACCAGTTCTAAATGGAGGTTTTACAAACATTTCCATTCCCTTAAAGTTATAATGACTCTCTTTTTAAAATAAATTTTAATAAAATATTTGGGGTAATATTTTTTTATGAGCTTTATACATGACTTGTAAAATATTATATTCAACCAAATCGTAAAATTTTAATAATTTCAACTGATGAAATAACATATGTGTTGGTTGATCATAGCACTTCCTACTAATAATTCTTATAGCTCTTTTTTGTAAAATAAAAATAGGATTTGTAATTGTTTTGCATGCTTTTCCCAAACTCCAATACAATAGATTAAATATGGAACAATCATTACATTATACAATATATACAAAGTGTTGTCATTCAAAAACTCTTTTACTTTATACATTAATGCAATTGATTGTTGTTTTTATTTTTAAGTAATTTACGAGATTTCCATGTCAGCTTCTCATCAATAAAGACACTCCATAATTTTATTTATTTGACTCTATGGATTTCATTACTGTCAATTTTAAATGGGACTTCATTTTCTTTCTATTACTAAATATCATGTAATTTGTTTTTTTCAAAATTTAATGATAACTTTTTAAGTTGGAACCAAGTTTGTATTTTTACAAATTCTGCCTGTATCATCTCTAACATCCATTCAGTATCTTCACCCGAACAAAAAAATGTGGTATCATCTGCAAATAAAACACACTTCAAAAGCCCTCACACGTCAACCAGATCATTCACATACAAAATAAACAACTGTGGTCCCAACACAGAGCCTTGAGTAACTCCACATCCATTAACACAAAATTCAGATCTTACATTGTTTACCTGTACAAACTGTCTCCTATTATTCAAATAACTTGATACCCACTGTAGTGCTAATCCTCTAATGCAATATTTATGCAGTTTGTCAAGGAGAACTGTGTGGTCCATAGTGTCGAAGGCCTTTTTTAAATCAACAAAAACGCTAACACAATACTGTTTTTGATCAAGAGCAGTTGTTATCTCTTCTATTAGTTCCATGAGATCCATTGATGTTGAATTATTTACTCTAAACCCATAATGACTATTACTTAAAATATTCTGTTTATCTATAAATCCATCTAATCCTGTTACAAATAATTTCTCTAATATTTTTGAAAATTGTGGCAACAAGGGTATTGGTCTGTAATTAGTGAACACACATTTCTCACCGTTCTTATAAAGAGGAACTATCTTTGCTATTTTCATATTTTCTGGAAATTTTCCTGTTGAAAATGATAAATTACATATATATGTAAATGGTTCAAAAACATAACTCATCATATTCTTTACAAACAGCACGTCCATGTCTATCCAGTCTTTTGATTTTTGATCTGCAAGATTTTTTACAGTACTCAGTATTTCTTCTTTATCAGAGTCACCAAGAAAAATGCTGTTGGCACAACCCATGACTGTATGACTCACATCATTATTTACATTTTGTATTTTAGCTGCAAGACTTGGGCCAACATTCACATAAAATTGATTGAAATGATTTACCATTTTATTTTCTTGATTTTCTTATCTTTTACAAAGTACTGTGAAATACCTGCTCTTTAAGAAATTCTGCTTGTTTTATTCTGTTATTTGAATGTTTCTCTGCATGCTTCAGAGAAACACAAACTGGCTGCCTTGAACATTTTTTTTTTTTTCTGGTGTTTGGAATTTAGTTCCTGTGCACATGAATTACAAACCTTCTTTTACACCTAACATTTAACTCTGTCCCTGTTCCTCAGTGTATGGTATTGATGTGACGGGAGAATCTGGTCAGATCGCATCCCCGCTGTATCCAAGGACATATCCCAATAATGCCAACTACAAATGGACCATAACTGTGGAGGGAACAAGCTACATTCAAATCCGCTTCTTGGACATGGACATAGAGGACCTGTACGACTGCTACTATGACCATCTGAAAGTAAGCTGTGCTTTAACTTGTTTTGAATGATAGATTATATACAGCAGTTCCTCTGTCTGCATTTAAGAAATCTGATTTAACACATCATGTATATAAATCAAACTATTCTTTGCATGGAAGTTTGATGCTGCAGAACTCCATGTTTGACTGGTTGCAGACATAGTGAGTGAACTTTGCATTTTGTCAATGCCTTTTTAATTTTAGTTTACGTTACAGTTTGTGTTTTTACAAATTTTCTGTCGTACTTTATCTTCCCAACAGCATTTTTAAACATATTTTATGAGTGTGACAAAGTGTGGCACAAATGTTGAGATTAGCAAACCTCTTGTTGAGTTGAAAACTGTCTCATGAACCGACAGAAGGTTGGCTTGAAACACAGCAATGAAGGCTATTTATGGGACAGATCTGGTTGGTAGGCCACAGACTGACGAAGTTAGAGTTGCATTAGGGGCCCAAAAAATCCAACCCAGCCCCAGCCCTTAGCCATCATTTCCGAACCCCACCCGGTACGACAAATTAACAGTAATTAAAAGCCAGAACCTGGGAAAAAAAAAAACTGAAATTTTTTATTAAGTTTTGACTGCTTATATAGTTATCAACTGTCGGTGGATGTGAATGGCTGATTAAAAGGGGGCAGAAGATTGGAGCTGTGGAGGTGTTTGTCCTTTCAAAACGTGTCAAAGTGCGTTAAATCCCTGCTTCTGCCTGCATTCTGCATTATTCAGACATGGACCCTGCTCTGACATGTCCGCTTTGGGATCTCACATGTTTGGGTCGTCAACTGCGTGTGTCTGCTGAGTGCAGCGGTTGAACGTCCATTTGGGTGATGGATTACTTCCTGGCAGTCCCATCTGAAGCTTAACTGAACTTTATTTTACCTCTTTCAAGGCCGGGCAGCTCGCAGTGAAATGGCCGCGTGCTGCTGGTGAAATATGACAAGCCATGTGGCCATTTAATTGGATTGTCAGACGTGTGTGTCCACTGACGCAATCAAAAGCCCGACACTGACCCGGCCTGCCCATCCAGCACAATATTATGGGCCCGGTCCGGCTCGGCTCAAATTCGCCTCGGGCCAGGCTGGGCTTTGGGCTCGGGTTAGAAATGACAGCTCTAGATAAAATCTTTCGGATGAAAGACAAAACGTTTCTCCCTTACATAAACTGGTCCAGATGACATGATTTAACCTTTTTTGTTGTTATCTACCTGGATGATTGAGCTTACAAACCTTTTTTTTTTTTGGTCTCATGAACCATTATCAAGTTGCAGTAATGGCGTTGAAATTGTTTGTGGCATCAGTTCAGACAGACCGCTCAGACCACACATCACTCCCAACAGATCTTGTTGTGAGCAGCTGTCTCTACCCTCCTTCAATAGGGTCTTTGTTGTCCTGATCCACATGATGGAGGTTTTGGTCGCATGCACGTAACTGCACATTAGTGTGAAACTGAGTATCAGACTCAAAGCTGCGATGTATATCTTGGACAGCTCAAGAATGTGCATTACAACTAGAGCCTGACCAATATGGAAATTTTGGCTATCACCAATACTGATACTGGGAGGGCATGCTAATGTCGATAACTGATATAATGGCAAATTTTGTTTTGCTTTGTCCACCCCCAAGAATCCATGTAAACAACGAGTGGAGCGGGGCTTGTTTATTTAGCGCAGCTGTTAGCAACCATAAAGCTAAGCTAATGACAGCCACACTATATGTAGTGCTACAGTAGGTTTACAAGTGGTGCACTGGTCATAAAAACAGTCTTCCTAACATGCGTTCACATTTTCTGTCCTCCACCGTTCATCTTAAAGTTATCAAATGTGCTACAAAAATATAAATTAAACAAAAAAACACCCTTCTCTGTTCATTGTTTAGTCAGTCACGTATGGTGAAGGTCAAATTAGTACTGACCACAGCAGCATTTGTTTTCTTTGCAGAGAAATAAAGATTTCAGACAAACAGTGTGAGGATGACAAATATAATGTTACTAACACTGATATATATTTACCTCTAAATTAGATTTATTGTTCTGGATAAAGTTTTACGAGGCAATAGCCTATGCTAGGTTAAGTAAATGTTAGCTTGCTAACTTGAGAGGCACGTAGCTTATGACAAGCGGGTTGGAGGATGGAAGAGAATTTATTATTGTTGATTTGTTTTACAGATCAGTTAAAATAAACTTACCTTGATCTGTTCAGCAAAATACACTACACAGTATTGCTCCCTGCTTTGTCTGTGCTGAATGTGAAAGTGAAACTTAAGTGAACGGCCATGACTTGAAAGTAGTCGTCATGTGCCCTCTGCTGGATGCATTGTACAATTATGGCTAGTTACCAGCATTTTAGACATGAACATTAGAAGTGCTTATATCGGCACATAATGGGACAATTATCACAGATACCGATAGGACCCAGACGTCTATATCGGCCAAAATTATCAGTCCCACCGATATATCGGTCAGGCTCTAATCACAACATTAGCGTGTCTAAAAGAGTGTCTTTCAAGCCATAGGTGGACAAATGATACTCAGGTAATTTGATAACTGTTTGATGACTGCTGCCTTTAATCTTTTTTGTTCCTCCAGATATTTGATGGCCCAAATGTTCATTACTACCCGATTGGGACATTTTGTGGTCTGACCCTGCCTGGCCCCATTAGAAGCTCAGGAAACACTGTCACCCTGCAGTTCCAGACAGATCTGGTGGTGGGAGGACGAGGCTTCCTTGTGGAATGGACTGCTGTGCACGGCTCTGGACCACCACCAACTATTACACCAGGTGAAACACAACAGCTCCTCACTGTCAGACCTTAGACAGAATAGATGGATTTCTATGTAGGCATTTAGGTAGGACATTTATTTATCCCATGTGGGAAACTGTTTGTCACAGTGGCAGGCAATAAAAAAAAAACTAAAATCAAAATGAAATACAAAATTATTGAAATAGTTCTGAAAATAACAAAATACGGTATAAAAAGAAACCAGAGAACTAAAGCAGTAGAAACAAACTCACCAGTAAGATCCATTGTGGTGAAAACAGCAGTTCACTGAAGACTGATATGTCTACTGTATAATATATAAATTATATCAGTCACTTTAAGTTCCAGCAATACTTATGTCCCTACACAAAAAATTGAAATTACTGTACTTGCTGCCGTACATGTTGCACGGCCGTATAAGTTGCATCAGTCCAAAACATAAATAAGTTGCTTCGCCGTATAAGTGGCATCTATTATGTGTCACCGCTGGCAACCTGGAAACATGGGCCGGTGTTGTGCCAAAAATCGAATGGCTGCCAAATGGCGGCCACAGAAGCGTGCACGGGAGGACTTTAACAAGAATTTAATAAGATTAACACTTAAAAATAAGTATTTGATTGCTTGAAATTATAGCAAAGATGTGTCTCAGTTTAACTTTTCATTAATAAATGCACTTTGACGGTCAAATCGGCTGCATTTCAAAAATCGATTTGCGGAAGTGGAAGCGTGCAGAGGGAGGACTCGGGCATTTCGTTGAAATTTAACAAGATTAACACCTTAAAGAGTTGTTGTTTGCTTGGCATTATAGTAAAGGTGTGTCTCAGTTGAACTTTCCCTTAATAAATGTATTTTAATGGTCAAATCAGCTGCATTTCGCCTGGGTGATGCAGCGAAATGCAGCTGATTTGACGTTTGCTCCAGGAGATCCAGAGCGAGACGAAGGTGGCTTACTATGGCAAGCCAAGTGTCTCATTAATAGCCACTTTTGCCTATTAATGAGACACTTGGCTTGCCCCATTAGTCAAGGTTCCTCTAGCAGCTGAAAATGTTAGTGTTCAGTATTTTCCATGTCAGAATGAATGAAATCGTCAGATCTCAGCCAAAATTTGGTTATAAATGTGGGGAAAAATGTCACTTTGGTGTATAAGTCACAAGACTTGCAAATTTATAAAAAAAGGTGTGACTTATATAGCAAAGAATACGGTACTCATTTTTTTTTATGAATTTGGATTAATTTAGATACATAACACATATATCATGTTCTGTGGTGTGGCTAGACCCAGCCAGGTGCAGACAGAACTCGGGAAGATCAAAGTATAAGTAAACAACTTATTTAAATTAACAAAAAATTATGCTGATGTGGCAACAAAACTTGCATTTTTTAGCTCAGCAGACACAGAGTGAGAACAGAGCATGACACCCAAAGGGATGGTCCACAGACAGGGGAACAATAAGAAAACACAGAATATATAGACACACTAATGAGGGGATAAACAGAAACACCTGGGGAAGGACAACAGGTGACAGAGGCAGGAGCTGATCACATGAGGGAGAAACACTGAAGGCAGAACAGATGACACAAGAAACACAAAACACACAAATCTTCTCAATATACAGTGCCTTGCAAAAGTATTCGGCCCCCTTGAACTTTTCAACCTTTTGCCACATTTCAGGCTTCAAACATAAAGATATATAAAAAAAAATTCATTAATTCAACCTTAATATAAAATTTAAATTTTTTGTGAAAAATCAACAAGTGGGACACAATCGTGAAGTGGAATGAAATTTATTGGATGTGTCAAACTTTTTTAACAAATAAAAAACTGAAAAGTGGGGCGTGCAATATTATTGGGCCCCTTTACTTTCAGAGCAGCAAACTCAGTCCAGAAGTTCAGTGAGGATCTATGAATGATCCAATGTTGTCCCAAATGACTCATGATGATAAATAGAATCCACCTGTGTGTAATCAAGTCTCCGTATAAATGCACCTGCTCTGTGATAGACTCAGGGTTCTGTTCAAAGCACAGAGAGCATCATGAAGACCAAGGAACACACCAGGCAGGTCCGAGATACTGTTGTGGAGAAGTTTAAAGCCGGATTTGGATACAAAAA